TTAATTTGTTCATTGACGTACGACTTGTAATCATTTAATCTACATTTCAACTATTGTGTTTTGGAAATTCAATGAAGGCATAATATGCCAATGTATAATAAAAAATGATGTTGCAAACAAAAAAAAGTTCGAATTCATTTTTTCCTTGATCTTTTTTCATATAATATCAATAAAGATTCGATTGTTGAAGAAAAAAATGTATTGGTATATATTTCATTCTGTAACTCCCAAATACTTTCCTTTCAAGATATTTTAAATCATTTTCTAATAATAAACGCGGTTTATAACTGAATCATATTTTTGAAAGTAAAGTATTATTCTATAACATTTTGCAGTTTTTTATTTAGAAATTTTGCTGTGTCTTATATGTCACGTATCATATGTCACGTATCACATGTCACGAAATTCAAAATTTACCGGGTGGATGAAATTAGCTGTAAATCAAATCACTACATTGTTCAAAATTAAATAAATTTTTAGCTCGTGATAAAGAGAACAAGTATAAGTTATCTGAAATCGTCAAACAATTCAAAAAAAAATCAAAAATTTTATGGGACAATGATGTTAAGTGCTTGCACAAAACGGGAATGTCATAAAGATTACAAACGAGTGAACTGAGTTGAGATAAAATTTTAAAAAATTGTAGTGATTAAATCATGCATAAGTTCATTAGTATTGTTTTCTTAAAAAAGAAATTTTATGGAAGATTTTCTTCGCAAAAAATTAATTATCACATCCTGTACAATTAAAGAAAAATTTAAATTTACATATTATCCATCAATTCTGTTACGATCTTTTTTATTTTAAAAGAATATATATATACAATTAAAGGAAAAAATTTTTATACATAAGAAAAAAGAAGTAAATAATAAAGAATACAAAAAAAAAAAATTATAAGGGAAAAAGTTGGTTCAATAATCTCAAAAGATGTGATTGAGAAATGTCTTTGTTATTATATTTACAATAATTTTTTTTTTTTTTGTCCATTTTTGAATTTTTTGAAAAATAAATAGTCCTTTAAGAATCTTTTGATTCCCAGCGGTATGTCAAGGATATTTTGCATTTCCAAAAACTTTTTTCTGTACGGAAAATCGCTTCCTCTTTACTTTCATACAAATCATAATCATCATCTCTATCTCTTAAACCCACAACGTTAATGATTTCTTGGCAATATTTCTCCTCTTCCTCTTCTTTTATATCTACTTCTCTCGTAGCTTCACTTCCTATTGGAGTTGATTTTGAATTCTCATTTATTATTATACTTTGCCTTTTTGATCCAGATTCATAGTTAAACGTTTCATTGGCTTAATCTGTAATGTAGATATCTTATAACGCGATAGTAGACGTGCTAGCTCGACGTAATACTAAATGTTGCGAAATCTCATCATCTCTTAAAAAAGCGTGTGAAAGAGAGGTTGGAGACAGTATAGGGTGAAGGTGAATCTTCAATTTCTGCATCTATTATTGTGATATTTAGGAATGATTTTATGTATATATACAATTATAAGGGTCATAATAAAGAGTATTACAAGAAATGAAATCATTATTATGATGAGAATACGATTATTTTCTCGTATAGAGGCGGAAAATTCTTTCCTTGGATTGACGGATCATCTAGAGAAGTTGGTAAAGAGAGGGAGGAGTTTTCTGTGTTATTATTGTATAGATTATAATGTTTCAAATGTATCTGTTATTGTTAGCTCTAAGAAGAGTACCTACTGTAAGAATCCAAGATCTAAAAAAATAAAAAATAATTTTTTATTGAAGTAATACAGTGACGCATGTATTCTAAACAGGTTCATAAGATACTCTAATGATACCCAATTACATATAGGTATTAATTCAAGCAGTTTCTTAAACAATTGACACATTAAGTGTAAGCATGGGTTTGAAACTTACCTTTATAATTTAAATTTGATATTATCGTAATAAACTTTCTTTAGTAATATTTTGTAAATATAGTTGTCATCGTTATGGTTAAAAAAGTAGTTTAATGTATTTAACGATGTAAGTATACTAGTAGAAATATATTTTTCGTTTGTTTAAGTATAACAAGCAAGTGTTATGATAAATTTTTTTTGATTTTTGTACTAAAATAAAAATTTGGAAGAAAGAGTTGAAGTTATTTCATTTTGTGAAATGTTTTTTTTAAAACTATATATTGTGTAAAAATTTTTATTAGGAAGATAAACAAGGCACGGTACGTGTAGCGTAATTATGAAGATCATACTTTTTTTAGAAATGTTAACTTTGTCAAATGGAAAGAACTCGAACTTTTTAATATATATTAATAATCCATCTCATACAATATATTTTCTTATTTGAATGTGATTCACAATCATATCTAAAGACTCATTATTTGAATTGTGATATTATATTAGTAATTTAAAAAGAAAGATTTTCACGTGATTTTAACTTGTAAAAATTTGACGTGAGTTTGTTATCTTTAGTTATGTTATTATACGTAAAATAATGTGAAATGTTAAGCAAATTTATGAACGGATGGTATTCTTTTAGGGCTCACTGTCTATGTAGGTAATTTATGCATCTATATTAAATCAACATTCATATTAAAAATTTTCCTTCCTTAGATGATGATCAAACTCTTGTGACAAGCCAACAGAGGTACAGTTCTAAAATTTTAATTTTAATGTAAAGCAAGCGCCGACGTCAAGATTTGATTGATAATCCCCATATAGTTGCTTGGTTCTTTGAAAAACTTTTTAAAGTTTTTCTAGAAAAGGTATTATTTCTAAATGGAAACTAAAGGACTGGTGGTACTGCTTTGAGTGGCAACACCAAGTGTATTCACATTCACTGTATCAGAATAATGCAAGATGCACCTGAAATTCATTGAAAAATATGAAAGAAATGGACTAGTATATTACAATACTTCGACTTGTTTATTATCACGATCAATCCAGGACCTGATTCTCCCATTCCAAGTCAGAACTCTTATCAAAAAAGTCACCAAGAATTATCTGATAACTTGTAGATACAAAGCATACGAGATGTATTATTATCTTCGAATAAATAAGAAAGGTCAATAATATTGTCAATTTTGATATCCAAAAGATATCACGAAAATGATCACAATCAACATGAGCTGATCACAGCAAGAAATAACTCATATGTAAATCTGCACAATTGACTTTAGCTTCAAGGTTTGCGTGCAAATGTCAATTTGAAACCTGTTGCAAAGTACGCGAATAAATCAAAATCATTCTCTGAAGCTTTCTCAGATACCTTACATCTTCATGAGGGTGAGCCTTCTAATCTTCTCTTAGTTCATTCTAACGGTTATTACTTTATTCTGTTGCAGAAAGAGACATTTCTGCAAAGGAAACATGTTAATTGCTTCTTGAGCTTCCTTTATACCATTCAAGTTGCCAGTTCGTTACCTTAAATCTAAATAAGGAAGCACTATGGCTTTGTGGTTCTAGAAATAAGAAAGAAGAAACTTTGCAATAGACGAGATTAGACGTATGGAACATTTATTTTTGCAAAGATATTGGAAATGACTCAGTGATCTCAAAGATCTTACACTTTTCCAGCTCCACCTAAAGTATAATTACTACAAAGGTAATTGAAAGAAATGTAAAAATGAAAATATCGTATAGATCTAGCTAAGACCATCACCTCAACGAAACGTTCCTCAATGGGAGGAATTTTTGCCAAATGAAAGTTTTACTTCATGTTCCTCATCGAAATCTTGATCAGTTAACTGAAAATAATACAATTTCTTGGTCAGATCTCTTTATTCAACATCTCGAAAAGATCGAAAACGAACATGACTTACTTAGATCTCCTATAGAAAATGAGCTTATTAACGAAGAAACTGATAAAAATCTGGAAATAAGTGAAAGTGATGATGAAATACGACCATATTGGATGATTCTAGTGAAAATAAGTCTGAACACAATTGTCGATGGTTCATCTCATCTAGGATTGCGAAATATTGATCATTCTCATGATTGGAACGGTCATATTAGACAACATTATCCTAATCTCGACCTTATTGACCCAGTAGGGTGGACACTATTAATGCATAAGGATTTAGTCGATGATTGTATTGCAGACTATCAAACATTAAACGAGAAACTGATGATAATATTTAAATGATCGAATCATATTATTGCAGCATATTACAGGTTGTAATCTAATTGAGTCACTCAGAATTATTATTATGGATACTGCGGGAACAGGGAAGTCATATTTAATTAACATGATTGATAGACAACTTCAACAATTAGCAAAAAATAATAATATCGAAAGCACACCTTTAATCAAGCTCGCACTAATTGGAGTTGCAGCGTTCAACATTTATGGGACAACAATTCATTCACCTCTTTTCATTCTTATATCTTGCTCTAACTTTGATATTGGTGGTGAACGACTGAAAAACCTACAAAAAATGTTACATGATGTCATTTACGTAATAATCGATAAAAAAGCATAGTTAGACGCTGAATGCTTTCTTTAATTGACATACGATTACATATGGCCTTTTCAGAACATAAGGACCAACCATTTGGTGGTCGATCTGTTATTTTAATTGGTGATTTCGGACAACTTCTGCCAGTGATGGATGTTCTGATGTATGCACAAAACCTTACACACTAACCATTATCAAATGAAGGTATTGTGAGATACAGCCAATTTCAGGAGGTTTATCACCTTGACATCGTTCAAAGACAATCTGGAGATTCAGAGGAATAATGTAATTTCAGAAATATTTTGCTGCGGTTACGTGATGGTGAATCGACAGTAGATTAGTAAGCATTTTCCGCACGATTTATTGGTGCGTCAAACATATCATCTATAGAATATAAAGAATTTTCAGACGCCGTACATATCTTACCCGAAAGTGCGATGTTAATGAGGTTAACATAAACAAACTTAAGTCATTGAATTGTCCCGTTGCTAGGATTCATGCAGGACATACAGGTAAAGATGCATCAAAAGCCGATTCTGATACAGCAAAAGGTCTTGAGGCGCGGATATTATTGTCTGAAGGTTTACGTATTATGCTCCGAGTTAATTTGTATATAAGGTAATGGCACAATCAGAACAGTTCGTGATATTCTGTTCGAAAATGGCCAGAAACCACCTTTTCTTCCCATTGCAGTTCTAATTCCACCTATACGACGTACCTGGAAGACGAATACAGGACTTTTCTCATGCTTACAAATTCCTGTTAGCCTTTCCTGGGCTATCACTGTTCATAAATCCAGGGGCGTACACTATAAAAAGCTGTTATTGATATCGGAAAAAAAGAATTTATTTTAGGTCTATCATTTGTTCATATCTCAAGTTCATGCTCTTGAGAATATTCTCTCTAAATCGTTCTCGTATGGTAGGCTTCACCGAATTAATAATAGTGAAAGAATGCAAGAACGGAAAATTGAGGAGAATGTTGGTTACTTGAAGAAAGAATTTTAATGATGTCATAATAGATCTAGAACAATGTCAGATATTTAATATTTCCAAATTAGATTAGTATGACGAAATGTAACTTCGGACCCACAACGGGTCCCGTTTTACTAGTTTTAACCAAAATTCAATAAATTACCTTAGCAAACCTATGTGTATTTTATACATCGAATTCGATATGGCTTACTAATTTCTCTTTTCTAAGCATGTTCAAGCATGCTTCATATACATGCATTTTCAATTTATCCAAAATCAATCTAAAATAATACCGAGAGGTTAATTATTGATTTGAGGAACGAAATTTTATTTAGAATATTTACTCTAAATATTTGTAAAACATCGAATCAAAGTTTTTGCCGGTTACTATGTTCAAGTTAGCCGAGTTCCATTCTTTATACAATAAGTCAGCTTTTTAAGTTTTCTATTGACTCGTTCTAGTAAATATTTGGACATTCTAAAAACATTAATATTAACAATTAGAATTGCTGATCAACTGTTACTAAATTCCATGACTTCTGGAATGTAAGGTGTTTATTATTATAAAACATTATTATATAAACTTCAATTTAATTCCTAAAATATTGGTTTAAATGATTTGCTCGATATCACTGAGCATTTATTAAGTACGATTATTATAGAACTTCATCAAAGAATCACATTAGAACTTTTGAAATGCTTATGTGGAACACAGTCAACTTTATTTAATTTCCATGGTTTTAAGAACTAGAAAATATTTAAATGAAATTTTGGAGAAACTGAAAATAATGCAGTATTATGCAATTAATATTTTAAACTTTCCTCAAACCTTTAATAATCACAATTCATAGTTTTATTATAAACCACCAATCGATTCAAATTTAATGATCCTGATGCGTGTCATATGTGATTTAATGTAATTTATCAATAAAAAAAAAAATTTTTAATGAAGCCTTAACCGCAGCATATCGAATTAATATTTTGTAAAAAAAAGATCTCTAACATTAAAAATAAATCATTTCGATATACTAATCCGGGTTAATTCGGAT